AAATACTGTACATCAGTGGTTCATATAGTGAACTCGGTGTAGTTATTCACCCTGACGTCATCACAGAGGACAAGGGGGCACTCTTTATGTCTGGAAGAAAAGAAATTTAATCTCCAAACATAGAAAGGTTTCCTCACAGTGAGAGCTGTGAAAATGTAGAATAGACTCCCTCAAGAGTTGGTTCTGGCCAGCTCAGTGGATTGCTTTAAACAAGGCCTGGATTCTTTCTTATATACACAGAATTTAACTGGATACTAACATTTATAGGTAAAGTTGATCCAGGGAATATCCGATCACTTCTCGGGGGATCAGGAAAGATTTTTTTCTCTGCAGGAGCAAATTGGATCATGCTTTGCTGGGTTTTTTTTTTTCCTTCCTCTGGATCAACTGTGGGTATAGGATTATAACTTTTTTTTTTTTTTTAATGGTTGAACTCAATGGACTTTTGTCTTTTTTCAACCAGACTAACTATGTAACAAAACCACAGCATTAGCAGAATCAGGCCTGATAAATTTTATTCATAGTTGGTCAAGCAGTCCCTGACAGCCAGGCGCTCTATTTCTAGTAACACTAGGTATCTGTAAATTTAGAGCTCAAAATGTCCCAATAAAGGTACACTAGTGAAGAGGCCTACAAGATTCTGAGCATGTCAGATGAGAGCAAAGGGGAAGACTCACTGACAGAATCTGCTTCAGAATACTAACCTGTAGAAAGCAGCGGCACCCTGTCAGGTAGCTCGGATGATGGAGAAGAGGTCCTTGTTAAGATCAGGCATACCCGACCCATGAAGCTGAAGTGCTAGGAACACATGACTTGTCTCATATGCAGCAAGGTGCCAGTACTAGTGCAGCACTACCTTTTAGTGAACTGGTGAGCACCAGTGGCCTAGTATATCCTGGTCTTTTTCATACTAGCACTGCAGTACCACTTGGTGACGTGGCGAGTCCCACCAAGAAATTTGCACACTGGCCCGTGGAGCCCATAGTGTCCTTCCGCATGTGTTTGCAAATCCTGATTAGCAGATTCTGCTGCACCGGTACTTCCCCAGTTCACTGTCCAGCCCAGAATTCAGGTGGAAACAGCAAATTTTACTTTAAAGAAGATTTGTTAAATTTGATTGTGGGCCAAATCAATTTATACGCACAACAATATATTGCCCCGAAACCAAATTCAGCTCTTGCCAGACCATTTGCATGGAAACCTATCACACTTTCCAAATGTAAAAATTTTGGGCCTAACCCTCAACATGGGCATTACAAAAAAGAATGAGTTGTGGTCGTATTGGTCCACAGGCCCAATTCATCATATGCCCATGTTCTCTGCTGCCATGGCCAGGCGTAGATATGAGACGATAATGCGCTTCATGCATTTCAGTGATAACACACTCTGTTGTCCTTGGGTTGACCCTGAACATGACAGGCTCTACAAAATTCGACCCCTCATAAACCACTTCGCTGAGAAATTTGCAGAGGTGTATACGCCCCAGCAAAACATTTGCATGGATGAGTTCCTCATTCACTTTACTGGCTGCCTTGCATTTAAACAGTACCTCCCCAGCAAGTGTGCCAGATATGGGCTCAAAGTGTGTAAGCTCTGTGAGAGGGCCACAGGCTATACATAAAATTTTAGGGTCTATGAAGGAAGAGACAGGGAAGTAGAGCCCCCTGACTGCCCAGACTAAATGGTAAGATAGTATGTCGTCTTTGTTCCGCAAGGGTACCACTTATATGTGGACAATTTCTATACAAGCGTGCACCATGTGATCTAATCGCTGGGGCTTCACCCAACAGCTTGTAAACACCCAACTTAGAAAGGAGGAGAAAGCCTGCTTGAGAAATAATGAATTGCTTGCAGGGAAGTGGAAGAACAAGTGGATGTTGTCGTCCTGTCTTTCATTCGCGCAGATACGACCATTCAAATTTCCATGGCATCTGGCGTTTTGAGAAACTCCTCTGTGTCCATGACTATAACCTTAACATGGGAGGGTTGGACTTCAATGACCAAATGGTGAATTTGTATCTAGTTTCCTGCAAAGTTCAACACTGGTACAAAAAGGTATCTATTTATTTGGCTATATATAAAACGTTTGTAATTTACAAAGCAACTGAACAAAATGGATCTTTCCTAAAATTTCAGGAAGAGATCATCACAGCCCTTTTGTATCCAGAAGGTGCTGTGGCCCAATCCTGACTGCATGAGTGGCATTTTCCAGATGTCTTTTCTGGCACCCCAACACAAAGGTCACCCCAAAGAAGATGTTGTGTCTGTAGCAGACACGGAATAAGACACGACACCCACGTTTTTTGTCCCTCCTGTCCTGGCCAACCTGGTCTCTGCCTCAAGGACTGCTTCTGTAGCTACCATACACTAGTGGAGTATTAGTATAGGGAACAGTATGGGACAGTCTAGGGCACATGTTCACCATTTTCTTCAAACAGGGTCTTGAAAGATATCGGGAAACTGGCTATCACATTTTGAGAGACCCAAAAATCAGAGGCTGTTCTTAAAAATTTCAAAAAAGTTTTAAAAAAAAACATAAAATAGTCAAAAAATTAAAAATAAAAAAAACCCTCAAAAAAAAGTTGTAATTTTATTGGGTTAATGTTTTATTGTTACTTTGTTTTATTGCTAACCATTGTTCACTTTGCAGGAATACTATTCAGTTATTGTTTTATTGAGTTAACATTCTATTGTTACTTTGTTTTATTGTTAACCTCTGTTGTTTGCTTTGCAGGAACACCATTCAGCATTCAGGAATAAACAGCACCAATCTGTTTATTCTGATAGCAACAGGGTCTTGCTCTCAGAATATACATCAGTGTGTGTAGTGCTATTGGATGAGATTTTTCATCCGCAATAAAAAAAAGAACATATATGCTCAAGCATGGGGGCCTGGGGTGGTCAGTGGGTGGATCGCCCCTATGCTTTGGCATATATTTTTTTTTTTTCATTTTTTCTGGCAGAGATTTTAATTTAAAAATTTGTTTTTTTTTTAGTTAATGTTCTATTGTTACTGTGTTTTATTGTTAACCGCTGTTGTTTGCTTTGAAGGAACACCATTCAGCTGCAGTACCAATCTGTTTATTCTGACAGCAACTGGGTATTATATATGTCAATGTGTGCAGTGCTGTTGGATGAGATTTTTTATCTGCAGTTAAAAAAAAAACATATAATGCCCAAGCATGGGGGCCTGGGGTCGTCAGTGGATGGTTCACTCCTATGCTTCAGCATGTATTTATTTATTTTTTTTCATTTTTTTCTGGCAGAGATTTCTTCATCTACATTGATCGATGTGAATGGAAGAATTTCTTAGGGTCTTTTTTCCATTCAGCCCATGGGCTGAAAGAAAGAAAAGACATTACATATATGGTACACATTAGAGGTGTGTGGATGCAGGGTGGTATATTTTTATTGTGGGCATACCACATACTTTTTCTGGCAGAGATTTCTTCATCCACATCGATCAATGTGAATGGAGGAATCTGTTAGGTTCTCTTTTTTTGGCTTTCATGTAAAACCAATCCTAGTGGCTAATTAGTCACTGGATAGCTTTTACAAGCAGCGGGAGGGTATGCCCCCCTCCAGCCACCTTCCGTGGCCTTCTCATCCCATCAGGGAACCCAGGAATGCAGCTGGTGGTTCTGCCTGCTGACCATAGAGCTGGTCAGGGACTGGAATGACTCTAATCATCTCTATGGTCTAAGAAACTGGAAGCTCCAAGCATTTCATCACAGTTTCAGAGGCCCTGAATGAAATAGTACAAACCCGCCCCAAATGACCCCTTTTTGGAAAGTAGACACCCCAAGGAATTTGATAAGAGGCATGGTGAGTATTTTGCAGATCATTTTCCAAAAAGGGGTCACTTGGGGGGGGGGGAGGGGGTTGTGCTATCCTGGCATTTCAGGGCCTCTGAAACTGTGATAGATAGTGAGGAAGTGAAATGAGAAATTTTTACAAGCCATCAGGCTGTTAGGATCCACCAGGTGGTGCCTCAGGCTGCCAACTGACAGACCTACCCAGAGCGTGGAGTCTAAGCCCGGTCTGTGCTTTCACCAGGGCCCCTGATGGTAGGGATGGACTTGTAACAGACCCGGGCCAGGTCACGACCTCTGAGCAGGCCCACCAGTGGCAGAGGAAGCCGCCGGGGACGTATGCAGGTACCGGGAGAGCCAGATGTGAAGAGGATGGCGGGACCTAGCAGGATGGTCACGGGCCGTGGTCCCGTGGGGAAGTGGGGTACCGAATCAGCAGGCAAAGAGTAGTCAGGTCACACGCAGGGTCAGCAGGGTAAGTCAGTCTGCAGAAAGGTCAGACAAGCCGGGGGTCAGAATAGGAGAAGGCAAAGTAGTCAGGGCAATCCGGGTCAAATCACAGGAGAAGGCAGCGTAGTCAGGGCAATCCAGGTCAAATCACAGGAGAAGGCAGCGTAGTCAGGGCAATCAGGGTCACTTAAACAGGTACAGGAACTCAGGATCACAGATAGACCGTGCGGCCATCTGTGACAGTGCAGGGCATCTTTAAATAGTGCGCCCTGCACTGTCATTGGCCGGCCAGGACGCGCCCCCGGCTGTCATTGGACGCCTGAGGCACGCCCGCGGCTCCTACTGCGCATGCGCGGCGTCCTGTCAGCCGCGGCTCGCCGGGACCTAGTGCCTGTGTCCCGGCGTGATCTGCCACCAGTGCGCATGCGCTGGGAGAGGGGCCGCGGTCGCAGAACTTGGAGCCGCGATCCCTGACACAGGCATTCAAAGGGATATTGGAATTCGGGCTCCTGAATGCAGCTATTCAGCCACGAAGTCTCTCACATGTGGTATCCAGATACTCAGGAGAAGTAGCAGAATATATTTTGGGGTGCAATTCCACATATACCCATGGCATATGTGAGCAATATATAATTTAAGTGACAACTTTGTGTAAAAAAAACACGTGGGGAAAAAATGTTTTTTTCCATAGACTCAACATGCCTCTCAGCAAACAGCTTAGGGCAGGGGCGGACTGACCATTTGGAAACTCGTGTACTGCCAGAGGGCCCGGGGTCAGTAGGGGGCCCCATGAGATGCTCCTGGTACCTTTTTCATAGGCTTTTTTGAGTTTGGGCAAGGGGCCCCATGATCCCCTATTGCCCGGGGGCCCCATGAGTTGTCAGTCTGCCCCTGGCTTAGGGTGTCTACTTTCTGAAAAGGGGTCCTTTAGTGGATGTTTGTACTGTCCTGGAATTTTAGCACCTGAGCAAATGTGATAGACAGTCAGAAAGTAAAATCCAATGTATATATATCATAGTTTATAGATGTTATAACTTTCACACAAACAAATGAATATACATTTATTTGGATTTTTTTTTTTACCAAAGACATATAGCAGAATACATTTTGGCCTAAATGTATGGATTTTGGCCTAAATTTATTGGATATTTTTTATAACAGAAAGTAGAAAAGAAATGTCTATTTGTGTGAAAAAAAGGACATACATTCGTTTGGACACAGCATTGCATGACTGTGCAATTACCAGTTGAAATAGGACAGCGCCGAATAGCGAAAAATGGCTTGGTCATGAAGGGGGGTAATTCTTCCGGAGGGCAAGTGGTTAACAAATGGCTCTTCTCAATGAATTTAAATGATCAGAATATACCTGAAAATGTCATTAGAACATGTTTGGGTTTGTTCAGATTTATAACTGTGTCCATTTGGAAATTCTGATACATTCAAATCTCCAAAAATGAAATTTATATCCGAAAAATGAATCTGAATAATCCGAATTGCACATGTCTAGTGGGGACACACTAAGGCCAGAGTGTCCATCAGGGGCGGACTGACAACTCATGGGGCCCCCAGGCAATAGGGGATCATGGGGCCCCTGTGTCCTTGCCAATCTCAAAAAAGCCTATGGGGCCCCCTACTGACCCCGGGCCCTCAGGCAGTGCCTGAGTTTCCAAATGGTCAGTCCGCCCCTGGTGTCCATACATACACTCCCTCCTCAATTACAATTGTGCTTACTCCTGTCACTACAGCTGTCACACAAACAGCACAGTGGTGTGGGAGGTTTGAAACTGGGTGGGCAGAGCTTAATGGCAATTCACAGGCACCATCAGGTTTGTTCCCCTTGTGCTTGACACAGTGCTGGGACAAGGCTATCTAGCGCCCAGGGCGAAGATGCCATATGGTACCCCCCACATGATGTATGAGCATTGTGTGTCTGCAAAAAGTGCCCCTCCCCAAACCCCCTGAAGATTTGAGCTCTAATCTACACTCTTACCCCCTAAGCATGAATTCCCTTTGAAAGCCAAATTCTCCAAAAAATATTCCCCCCCCCCCTTTCCCAGTGCAAATTCCACTCCCTCATTGAAATACCCAACCCTGAATAAATCTATGTCCCCCATCACCCCCTCCCAGCTCAAATCCTCTCCTTCCCTAAATTAGCCCCTCCTAGCACAAATCCTTTACTCCTCAAATTTCCCTTCTGGACATAAATCTCCCTCAACATCCCTACTAGCATAAATCCTCCCCACAAATCCCCCCTCCTGGTGCAAATCCCCATAAATTACCCTTCCTAGCACGCCCCCAGCAAAAATCCTCTCCACCACACATTTCACCTCCTAGAGCAAACTGTACTCCCATCAACCCCAGAATTCCCTCTCCCAGCTCAAATCTTCCCCCATCTTCCCTTCCAGCACAAGTCCCCCTTCCTCATTTCCAGCACAAATCCCCTCAAAATCCCCCTCTAGTACACACACCCCCTTCATCCCTAATGACCCCCCAATCACCCTTCTCAACACACACTGTATCCCCCCTAAAGTTTCTCCACCTAACACAAATGCTCCCATCTCAATACTACTGGTGCCCTGTGCTTTCCACAGATGAGAGCAGGTTCACCCTGAGCACATGTGACAGATGTGGAAGGGTCTGAAGAAGCCGTGGAGAACATTATGCTACCTGTATCATCATTGAGCATGACCGTTTTGGTCGTGGGTCAGTGATGGTCTGGGGAGGCATATCTATGGAGGGATGCAGATTCCTCTACAGGCTAGACAATGGCACCCTTACTGCCATTAGGTATCGGGATGTAAACCTTGGACCCATTGTCAGACCCTACGTTGGTGCAGTGGGTTTGTGGTTCCTCCTGGTGCACAACAATGCCCAGCCTCATGTGGTGAGAATATGCAGACAGTTCCTGGAGGATGAAGAAATTGATACCATTGAATGGCCCCCACGGTCGCCTGACCTAAATCCAATAGAACACCTCTGGGATATCATGTTTTGGTCCATCCGACACTGTCAGGTTGCACCTCAGACTGTCCAGGAGCTCAGTGCTGCCCTGGTCCAGATCTGGGAGGAAATACCCCAGGACACCATCCGTCATCTCGTTAGGAGCATGCCCTGACATTGTCAGGCATGCATACAAGCACATGGGAGCCATACAAACTACTGAGTACCATTTTGAGTTGCTGCAATGAAATTTCAGCAAAATGGACTAGCCTGCTGCATAATTTTTTCACTTTGATTTCCAGGGTGTCTTTGAATTCAGTCCTCTGCAGGTTGATCATTTTCATTTCAATCAAATGATGGGGCATCCTTACGTTCCTAACACATTACCCAGTCCATATCAGTATAGATATCCCCATTGAGATCTGATGTGTTTTCAAAGAATTCCTTTAATTTTTTGGAACAGTGTATATGCTACTTACCCCCCCTCCCTCCTTCAGTTATGTACCTAATTGAATTCCTGCTCCCTCACACACAGATCTCATATACAATGCTGCTGCAGATGTCTGTGGGATGTGAAAAGCAGCTTCCCCCAGACTCCTCCTGAAGGTGTCAAGAAGAGGAGGAGCCTGGGGGAAGCTGCTTTTAACTTTTGACAGTTAGCCAAAAGGAAGAGGTGTGGGGGTGTGGGACTGCAGCCTCCAAGACTGCAAATAGAGATTGCAGTACCTGTCAGATCATGCTGGGCTCTATCTCCCCTCCAGGTTCTTCCTCCTTGACTGCCCTCGCTCCTCGATCCAGACTATCACATCTGACTGAGCAGTATTTGCTTACCCGCCCCCTACCCACATTCTTTGCTGGGAGGAGATGGGACCAGGTAAGCATATCCTGCCCAGTCTGATGTGAATGTCCAGATCAGGGAGCGCGGCAGTGACAAGAGGAAAAACCTGGAGGGGAGCTAGAGCCCCGTGTTCAGATTGTAGCAGCAGCAACTCTTCACGGGGCACCCCCCTTCACATTGTACCACCTTGCCTAGGGCAGCCGCCCCTTCCACCCACCCCTAGTCCTGGCCCTGGATTGACAACAGACAGTGGTCAGATTCTTAGCCAACAGACAGCCCACTATTGGCTAAAGAATCCACCTACTGCCTGCTGTCAATCACAAGAAAAGAGCAGAACCTGATGGAGAGCTAGTGTCTTAGCTTTACCATGAGGCCCCACCCACTGTAGCATCACTTGTTAGGAGGCTGTCAGCTGTGAAGTCATCAGCATCCTTGTGTGACAGGGGGATGGAGAGAAGATTTCAGCAGAAAAATGCCACTTTGCTACACAGCATGTGGCCTGTCTCTGTACTCAAGCTTATAGTTAGTCTTAATTACCTACACATTTGTTATCTACAAATTGGAGGTAATTATTTTTGAATTTGATGCATTATTAGCACCACTTTGTAAGAATGGTGCTATTAAGAACTACCTGTATCTGCTGTAAATATACTGAAATGGATAGCAGGAATTTTTGACTCTGGCATGGGCCATTTCAAAGCACCAGAAAAGTGTTGTGAATTTATTGTAGTTCCTCCGATAGTCTTGTATTCAGTCACTGCAAGGGCTGTGTTTGATCCAATCAGAGTTACAAGAGGAGTTTCCTATTACAATTAAAGTAAAATCAACAAATGATGTTTAATGTAATAGTCTTTTTTTTTTGTTTACAAGTCCTAAATTAGAATTTTAATTAAGTCTCAAATGGCATCATCAAATGTATCCTATACGTTGTATAACAATTTAATTACAAAAAGAGATTAAAGCCTAGAAAATGAATTGTACTAACTCAGAAACAGTTATAGTAACTATTAGCCATTATCATACACATACATGAATATTCATTATTTTTCATTATGTAAAATCCCTGCCTTTGTAAGTTTGTAAATGACAAAAATATATTTAAGGCATTTTGTTGTTCCTTCAGAAAATATTAATGCCAATATCAACATGTTGTATCATGAAGGTGCAGTTATGTCGACTAGTAGAAGATATATTTTTGTACCTACAATATTTGAACTTGACACTAATGATATGATAAACAAATTGAACTTTCAATTTAAAACAGCTAAATACATTCAAGGTTCATGAAACAAAAGGTGTGCAAAGTCATATAGTTTATTTTCTTTAACCATTTAACCCCCAGACAATTTTCTCCCTAAATCCCCTAGAACACTTTTTTTTTTTCATTTCAGTGGTGTCTGTGTTCTGCACTCTATATCTTTGAGTTTTTTTATTCTACACTATAGAATTATACATCATTTTCAGGATAGATATGGATTTGATTTGGATATCTGTATTTTGTTTCCTTTTTTCATGAAAATAAATAGCGAAAAATATATAAAATGCAATCTCCTGTACTTTTTCCAATCAATTGCTCACATAATTTGCATACCCCTGATATGTACCCCGAAATATAATCAACATAGTCTTACTGAAACAATATCACATTAGTGTGATAACATAATCAAATAGTAATGCTCAAAGTGAAATTTTATGTTTTACATTTGGAGAGCCTTATTCCCCTTTCAATGCCACATTGTGCGGTTTGTGAAACTTGTTAATATAAAATGAATATAAAACTTAAGGGAACAACAGCAACTCAGCCACAAAGTGGTAGGCCACGTAAAATGACAGAGCGGGGTCAGCAAATGCTGAAGCGCACAGTGGGCAGAAGTCATCAACTGTCTGCAGGGTCAATAGCTAAAGACCTCCAAACTTCATGTGGCCTTCAGCTTAGGACAACAACAGTGCGTAGAGAGCTTCATGGAATGGGCTCCATGGCCAAGCAGCTACATCCAAGCCTTACATCACCAAGTGCCATGCAAAGCATCGGATGCAGTGGTGTAAAGTATTGGATTCTACAGCATTGGAGACATGTTCTCTGGAGTGACGAATCACACTTCTCTGTCTAGCAATCTGATGGATGTGTCTGGGTTTGGCAGTTGCCAGGAGAATGGTACTTGCCTGACTGCATTGTGCCAAGTGCAAAGTTTGGTGGAGGGGATATTATGGTGTGGGGTTGTTTTTCAGGGGTTGGGCTTGGCCCCTTAGTCCCAGTGAAGGAAACTTTTAAGGCGTCAGCATACCAAAACATTTTGGACAATTTCATGCTTCCAACTTTGTGAGAACAGTTTGGGGATGGCCCCTTCCTGTTCCAACATGACTGCGCACAAGTGCTCAAAACAAGGTGCATAAAGACATGGATGAGTGAGTTTGGGGTGGAGGAACTTGACTGGCCTGCAACCTGATAGAACACCTTTGGGATGAATTAGAGCGGATACTGCGAGCCAGGCCTTCTCGTCCGACATCAGTGCCTGACCTCACAAACGTGCTTCTGGAAGAATGGTAAAAATATTCTCATAGCCACACTCCTGAACCTTGTGGACATCCTTCCCAGAAGAGTTGAAGCTGTTATAGCAGCAAAGGGTGAGCCAACTCAATATTGAACCCTACAGACTAAGACTGGGATGCCATGAAAGTTCATGTGCGTGTAAAGGCAGGCATCCCAATACTTTTGGCAATATAAAAACAATAACAGTTCTATCCCAGCCTTAATACTAAGAAGTGATGTAACTACATTCCTGGTGTAAACACAACATGGATGTGGGCTGGCAAGCATCAGTTTAGCTCCTGGGCTTAGTGCTGGATGCAGCTCAAGCACCAGTAGGGGCCAGCAAGAACCTCTGAGACTGGCCACAATTTTTTAATTGCAAACCTGCTGATCTGTTGCTTGTATTCCTAGAGAGCAGCAGGTATGCTAGTACATGAAGCTCCATAGCTTTAACAT